CAGCCAGCTTGATCTCCCCACTAAGTATGCCAATAATGTTCATAAAGTTAAAAATTGCAACATTTGTTGAAAATGATCAAAATCATTTCTGCAATGCACTGAACATTGACAGGCTTTCTGGCATTTGCTGTCCTGTGACCTGTGGAGGGCTGGGGCATTTTTTTTTTCCTCACTACCTTCTGAAGTGCTTTGTTTGGGAGAGTTTGTTCATTCCAGCTTGGAGGAGGATTGAAAAGATATGTTGATGTGGTCCTCCCATGTCCTCTGAAATGGCCTGCACCACTAAAGACATTTAACATTAAGATTTTTTTCAGTCTACCTTGAAAGGAAGCAATTGAGTACACGTTAGAATCATTTGTCCTCTCATTGGTGTTCATTGATCAGTTTCTTGGTAAGTATGTAATTTTTCTTTTAGTTAAAGTATTTACAGATTGTTACTACTGGTGCTTATGTGACCAAAAAGAACTCTACCAATATAAAGAGCCTTCTAGAACCAGTGATGTTGCCAGAATTTCATAATGTTAGTCTGGGCATGTGGCCAATTTGGTCAGCAGGACCTGATTGAGGTGAATTTAATTTTAAACCACTGTAGGAGACCATATCAGAAACAAACCTTTGAAGTCATTTAGGGTGTAATTCTGGGTAAAAATTCTCCAAAGTTATGTGCTGAATTAGCCGATTTAATCCCGATTGTGCTCATGTTTCTGGCAGATGCTCAAGTCTCAGTTTTGGTCCAAAAAGAGAACAAGTAAATCTTACCTATTGATTTCTTATTACTTCATGTACATCTTTTTTGTGCATTTATGTCTTTTGAAATAGTAAACCTACTGGAACGGCAAGGGATGACGGGGAGTGATTCAGTTTTGGAACAGCATCCACTTTATTGGCATTTCAATTTGATTGCTTAGACTCAGGTATTAGACATTTGCTTGCTTCATCAGATGATGATTAAGTCTCAGCACCATTGTTCTGTTTCTCTCTTAATGTAAATTGCTCAACTGCAGTTTCATCTGAATTTTCTGATGAAAAAAATTCTGTGTATTCATCTGGAATTCTTCAGTCCACAGTTAAAGGCTTAACAACAAGCTTGACATTTTTCCTGCACATTCTGGAAGTTTTGACAAGAGTTTATGGTTATTCTTTATGATATTATTGAAAATAAAATGTAACAGCGCTCTGTAAACTGCAGTAATAAGTGAGCTTATGAAGGTAAATGTGCTTTGCTGTGGCAGTTTAGTGGATGCAGCAGGAAAATAGTAATGTGGGTTTTTTATATTTCCTTTTGCTTCTTAGTTATAGGTTGTTTGTTATTCATCTCCTGAAGAAGCAAAGCCATGCTGTAATATGTGAGTAAGGCAAAATTACTGCATCTTCCCCATCTTTATAAGACTTTATAACTCAAACTTTCTAGCAGAAGTTCATAAATAGCAATTGCAAACACAAACTTTGCACTATCCCCAGAAACTGGAATAGGCTTGTAAATTGAAACTCGTAATTTCACCACTTATGTAATTCTGTCTGAAATCAACTAACTCAGTACAGATTGGTAATCAATCTTCCAAGTTTAGATGGCTTAGCACCACAATGGGCTTTCAAGTTAATAATGTCGATGTTGGGCTGAACATAACATACCAACTAAGCCTGTTAAATTCAGCAAAAGTTGCACTTTACATGTGACATAATGACTGCTCTGTGTTATATACATGAAATTGTCTGTTGTTAGCAAAGTTGTGTCTTGTTCAACAATAGAATTTGACTTCATAGTCTTCAGGTCAGAAATTCCAGGCATTTTTGTAAAGCTTTTAATAATGTTTAAAGATTGCCAGGCAGTGACATTCTCCCACTTGGCAACAATGCTGTCAGGAATACACCATACACCTTTAATTCAGCCAACAGTGTCATCATTCCTGTGGTACCAACAAAATGCTGTCACCGGGAAGGTAACCTAAATTACTGACAACTTATAAATGCAAGTTGTTATTGGAATTAAGGGAATCTTGTTGCTCTTTTCATACTCACTGCTAATTGTTTCACATTGTATCTTGCAAAGCTCAGTTGACATGGCTTCAGGAGATGGCAGTCACTGTCATTCTCAAAGTTGCTGGTTCACAATTAGATTGTCTTACAGACTAGCTTTGAGATGTTGCTGCCACATCCTCTTTTTCACAACCTTGCTTCCCAAGCACATGCTGCTCCTTGACTAGAAGGCCCTCTTTGACTCTCTTCTGTTTTCTGTTCTTTCTGTTCACCCCAGGTATCCTTGACAAGGCTGGCAGCTGTTGACTAATCTCACTGCTGTTGATTTTAAAAATGAGTCATGGACTGAATGATGTCATCAGATGCTGACTTTTAATTTCAATGCCATTGTTGCCTGCCTGGATCCAGGTCCCTCAATGCTGCCCAATATGTACCTGTTAAAGTGGCACATATTCAGTGTAGATGTGAGAATGGCATACTGCCGAAGTTTTAAACCCCACCACGTACTCCAGTCTTCAGTGGTTAAATTCGGGCTTGCACTCTCAGTCTTGGATTCTATTTATATTTCACATATATGGAGCCAGCAATTTTAGTTTTTTTTATGTTACCGATTTAAGCTCAATCACAAAAATTGAAAAAGAGTGACTTGTATCATCCAGGATTGGGTTGATAAGTATAAGTAACACTTGCACCACACAAATACCAGGTAATGACCATCACAAACAAGACAGAATCTAACTATTTCCCCATGATGTTGAATGGCATTGTCATTGTCAAATCTCCCACTTTCAATATCCTGGGGGTTATTGGACCAGCCGCATAAATAATGTGGCCAGAAGAGCAGGTTAGAGGCAAGGAATCTTACAGTGAGTAACTTACCACCTGTCTCCCCATAGCCTGTTCACCATCTACAAGGCACAAGTCGGGAATATGACAGAATACTTTCCATTTGCCTGGATTAGTGCATTTCCAAAAACACTTAAAGCTTGACACCACCAGGACACAGCAGCCTAATTGACTGATATTCCTTCCACCACCGTCAACCTCCATCACCAAAGCATAGGAGCAGCCATATGTACGATCTACAAGATGCACTGCTGCAACACATCAAGGCTTATTAGAAAACACCTTCCAAAACTATGAACTCTACAATCTAGAAGGACACAGGCAGCAGATACATGGAATTGTCACTGTTGTACAGAACATATCAATAGTCAGCAGGAAATTGAGAAGCAAATATGTAGGGAGATCTCGGGTATCTGTAAGAGTAATAGGGTTGTAATTGTAGAGAATTTTAACTTTCCAAACATAGTCTGGAACTGCCATGGTTTAAAGTGCTTGGACAGGGAGGAATTTGTTAAGTGTATTCTAGAAAATACAGGGACAGTTAGAATATTTAAAAGACATTTAGACCAGTCCATGAATAGGAAAGGTTTAGAGGGATATGGGCCAAATGCAGGCAAATGGGCCTAGTTTAGTTTGAGAAACCTCATTGGCATGGATGAATTGGACCGAAGGGCCTGTTTCCATGCTGTATGACTCTATGACATCAGCCAGTTTGTACACAACAACTCCACAGACAATGATGTAATCATAACCAGATAAACTGGTTTTGGGATGCTGACAAAGGGGTAAACATAATGTCATGAGTTCTTTTACAAGTTTCTGAGAGGGTGGAGAGGCCTGTCTCATTTAATAGATCTCCAGGAGTGCAGCATTCCCTCAGTACTGCACTGGATGCTGGCCTAGATTTTGTGCTGAGTGGTAATTGAACTTATAACATTTTTTAACAGTATGGCTCAGAGGTGAGAGTGGTACCAATGCAGTCACAGCTAACACTTTGGTGAATCATGAGTAATGCTGCGTGATTAGAGGCTAGGAAGAATAGAAAGTGTGTAAATATCATTGACAATGAAAGGTTTAAAGGAAGATTTAGAATTTCATTACAGCGATCAGTCCTTATAGCCCCGATTTAATTCCAGCCTGGCCAGTGTGAACAGGATTAGTGGGATATTAAAAATGGTGGTGCATTCCTCTAATATTTACACCACCGTTTTAATTATATAAATTTAGGCATTACTGGATCTGCTTAACATGCTGAAGTGGAGATTCAGTGATGTTATGGTTGTCATACTGTGATTCTTAACTCCAAATATTAAAAGTACATATTGCATCAATGCCTCATTGAAACTCTGAGAGAGTGACCAGAAAAGGAAAATGAAAATGTTCTCTGTTAAATTCTGTGAGGCATAGGAATGTTGCTTCTATACTCGTAAGGTTCTTAGCCCTGGATTCCTCTCTTATTCCCAAAATTCCAGGCTGTTAGGAGCCCTCTCTCCCTGGCTGTAACCTTATGCTGAGTAACTGTTTCAATGGGTTCATCATGGAGTCTGTTTGCTGCATAAACTCACACCCCCACCCACCAATAATGACACCCTCTTGACTTCAATGCACAGATGTTAGGAGAGGACAGTTCAGAACAATTAAAATGAGGGCCTTGAGCTGGACTCATTCAAGCATTATACTCAGCATCCTTTTGGACTCCCCAAATGACCTGAATGATGTCCAAATTAAAATTTGGACTTGTATCTTGCAATCCTGTGGCAAGAAATCACATTTTGAATTGTATGTCAATTCTGTACTGACATATACATTAATAATAATATTAATAAAAATATTAATAATAATAATAGTGTGTCCACGCCTGTTGTTAGATACAAATTGCACAAACAATCTGCCAGCTTACAGACAATTGGGGTTAAAACCAAAGCCATCAGTATGTCAAAGGCTTAATAACACTTTGGTTTTTATGATAGAGCAGAATTTGAACAGAATGACAAAATCATTTGAGTGCATTCATCATGGAGATGAATATCTGACAATGCCTGTGCCTGATGGAAGCAGGTAGAGTGGCTACACTTTTCAATAGAAACTGAAAAAATATCCATGTTGTTATGTTTTCCTTTTGTTCACCAAACTATGTAATTTGGAAGGAGTTCTGACAATCCTTTCTTCTGTTTCAGAAAAGACGACGGCGGATTGATCGAAGCATGATAGGGGAGCCAACTAATTTTGTTCACACGGCCCATGTAGGATCAGGGGATGTCTTTAATAGTGGAATGAACTCTGTGAGTCCAAATACTTCCCTTCTACATAATGTTGTAAAAGTAGATTGAACAGATTTGGCTCTAAGTTAAACCATCTCTTGTTGTTTTGTTTCAGTCATTTTGTTTATTCACCTTCTGTTTCTTTTCTATCTGGCAGTGAATGCTTACTCTGAGCACATATTTCCCATATGTTCTATCACCTCAGCAGTAATTTACCAATTTGCCCTTTCTTAGAATGTGAGCAAAGAAGTAGAGTACTGATAGATAGAGTTAGGCCATCACAGCCAAATCTGATCCTGTTATTACCTACTAAAAATAACTCCATGGAGGCCATTCTCCCTTCATCCAGTCACCATTTATTTACACGTGCATAGTACATGGATTCTGACTAGCTAGCTCAGAGCCAGTCCCTAGATTGAGGGGAATCCCTGAAGTGCTGTTTATATCCGTCAACCAGGACTCCTTGACTGGCTCAGATTAACAATCCCAATCAGGGAACTCATTCAATGAGATCCACCTGGCCCTCATTCCAATCACTAAACTAACCTAATAGAAAACAAGGCCGTCCAACCCTTCAAGTCTTTTTTTCCATATAATGTACCTCAGTTCTATTTTTCCATTTCTGTTGATTGCTTTTCACTGTATAGTGATTAGGAGGATAAATCCCTGTGATTTTCTCTTCGTCTGTTGGACGCTACTGAGGACAATTCTATCTACCTAGTTTTCTCTGAGAATGATCAATGAAGTCACTGCAGACTAGGGATCAAACCTGAATCTGTTCTGGTTTTGGAGACAGCAAGAACTGCATATGCTGGAGTCACAGTCAATACCGTGTGGAGCTGGAGGAACACAGCTTTTCAGGTAGCATTACAGGAGCAGGAACATCGACGTTTCAGGTGTCCTGATGAAAGTTGTAAACCCGAAACCTCGGCTTTCCTGCTCCTCTGATGCTGCCTGACCTGCTTTGTTTCTTCAGCTCTGCACGGTATTGACTCTGTTCTGGATTATTTTGTTCAGTTGCATTTAAGATAGCATATTAACCAGCTCTTAGTTAATCAGTTGTAATTCTAATAATGAATGTTTATGCTATTTTAAAGAAGGCATTAATGTGTTTATTCTCATTGGACAGTTGATTTTATAGAAATAGCTGACTGTAGAATTTCATACAAAAGTATTTACCTTTATAAATAACATTTAGCAGCTCTTGAGCTTAGACTTTCTCTATTGTAAGGTAATTTTGAATTTGATGCCACTTGAGGTATTGAAAAGCACTGCAGGAAACAAGTAGGATTATTAGCCGATCAAAGTGATGAATTCCTATAGACTGCAGTGAAGTTAAAAGAGATAATAATTCACATTTCAGTGATTGTACAGAAAGTAATATAAAGATTAATGCATATATAGAATTAATAGAGGAACTGAAATGTTATAAAATTTCAAGAAAATATATTATTTTTTATTAGTCTAAAAATTGTCTGTATTCTATAATTTATTCTGAAGGAACGAGACTCACGTTCCACAAAAGTCTTTTTCTCAGGATCAGAAAGGCAGTTTAAAGTAATTCAGATTTAGGAAGTTGTTAAAATTTGAGTTAATTATGATCAAGCAAGACTTTCCATTTTCCTTAATTATAATGAAGCAAGAATAGTACTTAAAAGGTTGAATTTCATGCCCAATGTTAATGCAAAGACATTTATCTGTGTGCATACAGATTCCAGAAGTTGTTTCTATTTCACAGTAATGCTAGTGAATTCTGACATTTTTACTATCATTACAACCGCAAACTGCAGGCCAGTATTATACCATGTGATTTATATGTTGTAGAATATACATAAATTAGAACATGGAATTGAGCTTTTTTTTCCTTATTCATTCACTGGATGAGGGGCGTTGCTGGCCAGGCAGCATTTATTGCCCATCCCTAACTGCGCAGAGAGCAGTTAAGTGTCAACCATATTCCTGTGGGTCTGGGAGTCACATGTAGGTCAGACCAGGTTAAGGATGGCAGTTTCCTTCCCTAAAGGACATTAGTGAACCAGATCAGTTTTCCCCAGCCATCAACAATGGATTCACGGTCATCGCTAGATTCTTAATTCCAGATATTTATTGAATTCAAATTCCACCATCTGCCATGGCAGGATTCGAACCAGGGTCCCCAGAACGTTATCTCAGTGTCTGGATTAACAGTCCAGCGATAGTACCACTAGACCATCATCTCCCCTGTGAGCAATCAAACCATAACCTATTATAAGTTATGTTCTATGGCAAATGAACAGAAATCCTAATGTAATGTGCCCATGTAAAGTGTAAATCCCATTTCCTCATCTACCAATATAAGCTATTTGTGTTCCTTCAATTCTGCTTTTTATATCATCCAACCTTTGTTTTTGCACCAATTTATGGGAAGTAATAAATAATTTTGTACTTTTGAGTGATGCTGATGATGTATTAATTTGAGGCTGGCCAAATTGATTCCAATTATACTTATAGTCAAAGATTGAGATGTGACTTTGATAGGTTAGTTAAGGGCGGGTTCACACTCACACTCGAAAGGCCAGTGTTGCTCAAATTGCACATCAAACATATCAGTTATTATTATTCTTTCCTTAACCAAATTCTGTCTACAAATTACTTGTGGTATTTTTGAAATGCCATGTATTGGTAAAATGAACTACGATAGTAAATCTATGACCTAAATGTTCTTCTACAGAACATTGGCAACTATCGTTAAAGGCTACTATCTACTAAACAGTTGTGAGAATGACTGCATTTACTAATGTCATATAATGACTTTTAAATTAAATGAGGTTGTGAAGTTCTAACCTTACAAGTTTAAAGTCTCAGGCCTTTAAAAGGCTTAATGATACAGAAGAACCTGCTTTCTCTTAAGTAACTCCTGACACCAATTGAAAGTCTTTGTTATGCTTTGCAAAGACGATGATGACATCACCAGAAGGTATCCATAAATTACAGCTCCAGTTTTGTCATTGCCTGAACACCTGATGCGGAGCTCAAATATTGCTAGTGAGTTCATGGTTATAGATACTAAAATGCCACCCTGCTCCCACACATGACACTCTGCCTTCAAATATTCCCCTGTAACACTGATGAGAACCAACTCCAGGAAGGATTTTACAGGCACATTAAGCGCAGTAGCAATGATTGAGGGGCTACTAATTTCTTCCATATTCTGATTATTGACACTGCCTTTATCCCAGCCTCCCGTTCACAAACAGTCTGTGCCATGCTTCCTAAACCAGCATAGACAATGAGGTATAGGAGCAGAATTGGGCCATTTGGCCCAACAAGCATCAGTACTGAATTAAAGGGTTGTATGCCTCTAATCTGCTCTGTGCTAAGTTTCAAGCATTGGTTAAGTCAGTGGTGATATTTCTCTGGATTCAGTGCAGAAGTGCTGCCCCAAAAGTTAAGACACCAATAAATTTAGCCTTTTGCATTAGAACTAAGCCTGATTGTTTTAATCTGAATCTAACAAGAGCCATGTCTATTTGAGTCCTGTTCCTGGTATTACAAAAATGAAAATATTAGATTCATTCCTAAAAAAGCCAAAAATCAAGGCAATATATTGGCTTTCTCTGTCTCCTGAATAAGCACAAAGCTTCTCAACATACAAATTCTCAACATGGAACAGTAGAAATAACAGAAATTGGAACCTGAGGTCAGATTTCATTTTGAGGTTTTACTGGAAATAAATGGCTTTCTTAAAGCACTTTACGTGTTTTTGACACCAGCTGCTTACGAGCTAAGTCTTCAGTAGCTTCGGTAAACCGAAACAAGTTTGGAGTGTGATTCAACAGCCAGAGCTAAGGCTGCAATTTGGTTATTATCTATATTGGTAATTGTAAAGGGATATAGATCAGCATTGTATGTGGAAGTGCTCACTTAATTTCTAAGTTAATAAGGACTGTGAAGAATTTTACCAGCTATGTTCTAATTGATACAGGGAGGGCATTAATGCAACAGTCCCTGGAGGGTACGATTTAAAATTGGAAGGAAAGAGGAGGGAAAATGTATTTATGAATAGTAATTTATGTTCTTTTAAAATGTTTTATCTTCCAAGATTGAAAGTTGTTTATACGATCATTTTTAATGCAGTTTTATGGGCAGTTGGTAACTTATTTTGTATCTAGTGTTACCAAACCTTGCGTGAATAATTCCTCTAAATTAACAACAAATTGATGTAAATTCTTAGTATCTAAGCTGCAGTTATAGTGATTATCTTGGAATATGAAAGTGTTTTGCATGACTGGTTGTGAAGGATCATGGCTCCCAAAAAAATGTATTCCTAAAATTTGTTATTCACCTGATTGCTGCAGTTGTCATTAGTTGTTCATGGTATTTGGGTTGGATGGACAATGAGCTATTAACTTCGAATTTCTTTGCTTCAGGTTGGTTGATGACCATGACATTCATTTATTTCCTTTAATTATTAAATGAACAGCAAAAATTAAGGTTTTGCTTTAACATTGCAGCTGCCAGTTGAACTCTGTTTGATATGATAACAATAATGCTTCCTCTTTTCAGGCTATTTTCAGTATTGGTATGCTTTCATAACACTGTTTTACTCCTTCTGCGAGTGATGTTATGTATGAATATGAGGAACTAAAGTACGCCTACATTGTAGCTTCTTTTGGTGAAGTGGGGTTAAATAACAATGCATGTTGTGCTCAGTAAGCTACTTCATTATGTGCATCAGCCATATAATTAAACTCTTAAAATATCTTTGTATTCTACATTAGGTTTGGCCAGCATTAGTTCCAGTTTGCTCCACTTCTCTGAATATGCCATTTTTAACTAGCTCTGAGGAGCGACAGTAACTTTTCAGCATTAAAAAAAGCATGATTAAACTAAAACAGTCTCACATATAGTTTAGAGAATCAGCAGTACATGTGCATTTGCCATTAGGAAATACATTAGTAAAATTTAAAATAAATCTTCAAAAAAAAAACCACAACAACAGAACAGCCAGGATTCCATTGGATTTCAAATTTATTGACATA